ATTATGAGATGCTCAAAATCATTGGTAATCCAAATTGACAGAATGAGATACTACTGCTTTGCATCTATTAAAGTTGAAAAATAAAAGTGATGGGAAATACTTGGCAGAGACGCGGGGTGTTGGCGGGTGTAGAAGGCTGTAGATGTTCCAGGCTGCACTGTGGAGCTACGTAGTAAAATTAAATATATGCATAGTCTATAACCTTGAAATTCTCTTCCTGGGTAAACGTCCTAGGGAAACTCCCACACAGTCCACAAGAGCTGTTCAAGGGCTGTTTGCACTGGCGAGGAGTTAAAGGCAACGTGGATGTTCATCACTGGAAGAGCAGATAAAGAAAATGTGGCAGTCGCACAGTGTATAAAGTATCGCCTAGAAGCTGAAAGCAAGGATCAGATGCATGCATAGCACCACACAACTACATCTCAAAAGCGTTGTGTTTACTGAAAAACATTAGGGAACCTAATAAAATACGTAACATAAAAGCAGGTATGTACATTTAAAATGCATGCACATAAAACAGCAATCTTTTTCAAAGCATATTCCTAAGAGGAAACAAAATGACAAGCAAGAGAGGGGTGCCTGCATGGAACAGTGTGACTCTGTGACATGAACTGAGGAGGAGGATTAACTCAACCCTTTGCACCTGAGATGGCAATAACTCATGTTAACATAATAACAAAGTAAGTTACTAAACAACTAACTTTCTACAAGTTAGATTAACAACTAACTCTGAATTCACGTCTAGAGACCTTTGTTAAAGTTTCCAACCTATTTCTTGCAAGACATTTAAAAACATACTTCTGGCCGGATGCAGTGGCTTACGCCTGTAATCCCAGCACTTTGGGAGGCTGAGGCGGGTGGATCACTTGAGGTCAAGAGTTGGAGACCAGCCTGGCCAACATGGTGAAATCCTGTCTCTACTAAAAATATATAATTAGCCGGCCATGGTGGTGGTCCCCTGTAATCCCAGATACTCAAGAGGTTGAGGCAGGAGAATCACTTGAACCTGGGAGGCAGAGGTTGCAGTGAGCCGAGATCGCACCACTGCACTCCAGTCTGGGCAATAGAGCGAAACCCCATTTCAAAAAAATAAAATAAATTAAAAAATATATATTTCCAGATAAAACAGCATAGATTCATATCCCAGCTGTGATGTGACGATTCCCAAGCCCTTTCTTATGCAAGCATAAAAGCAACCTTGATGGTCTTTTCCTAAGTATGATGAGATGAGGGATGGGGACATAGTCCAAAGAAGCTGATGCTTTCAGCCTTTCCTACCTATCAGGACCATGCTAAGGCTGTCTCCCGTCATCTTCACAGTGAGAGGTAGGTACGTCACACCTTTGCGGAAGAGGCAACTAAAGCTGACAGCAGTTCTGTGACTTGCCCAAGGTCTGCAGTTAGTGAAAAGCAGTTGTTTGAAGCCAGCCCTCTGTGCTCTCTCTGGCATATCATGCTGAAAGGTGTCAAAAAGAAGTCCAGGTTCATTTTGAGTCTATGCACTGCAGAGCTGTCAAGAACTTGAGGGCTGTGTTGACAGCAGGAAGCCCAGAGGCAGCGCTCTCTGCCTTTGCCTTCCCGGAAGGACAGGCGGAGGCCCACCTGCACCATTTCCTGTGAAGGAGTTGCTAATTTCATCTGGCTCTGCGGCACTGTGTGGCAGGCTACCTCGCGTTGCTCCCAGGCTTGTTCTAGCTGTTCCCTGAGACTTCTTTTAGTAGTGCCCATGCTATCTCTTCATGGCAAACTCATCAAGGTCAGGGGTACAAATGCGACTCTCCCTGTACAACCCCAGACAGGCAGCCCACATAACAAAAAGGAGATGCCTACCTATTAATTATGTCCTAACTGAATTGCTTCTATCCATCACATTGGTTTGGTAGACCGTTGGATTTGAAAGTGATTTGCTTATATCTATAAGAAATCAGCTAGTAAAAAATGTTAAACCATAATTTTACAGAGTGCTGGGTCTCATGTCAGTCTACCTACAGGTGATTCACCACAACATCCCTGGTAAATGTGGGCAAAGTGAACACATATTATGAGTGAAAGAGTCTGGGCTGGTCACCGAATGGCTTAGAATCCTACAATCAAGAGGGATTTTAAGAGACCCCATCCCTTGGCTCCTGAGAGCACCAACAATGTGATGAGCCTTAGCATCAAGGTGGCCCCAGGTTCAAACTCCAGCTTGGTCTGGTGGGAACTTAGGCGAGAACTTAAGCTCTTCTGACTTAGTTTCTTCATCTGCAAAATGGGAATGACAGTACATTCCTCACAGGATTACTGTGAGGATTCATTGCAATTGTGAATGGACAGGGTCTAATAGTGTAGCTGGAACACACTAAGTGCTCAATAATGTTCACTATATATGTTGTTATAATTACCATTAAATGTCTCCGAGAACGGAGCCTCACTTAGCAGTATAACAAACATCTATCCCAGCAATATAGACATAAACATGATAATCTCTGCTTAAATGGCCAGAGGCCACAGTGACTTACCCAAGTTCAAGGCTGAGTACACAGAAGAAAAATCACTTGCAGTTAATGCTTAATTCATTCACACTTTGAAATGTTTAGCCTACATAGAAAATATCCCCTGTATGTTAAATTTCCCTAGCATTTTCCCCAAAAGATGCTTCTTAAAAGCAAGTTAGAATGGTATATTCATAGAGTTAGAAAGAAATGTTTATAGAAATTACACAAACAGCCTTTTTTTCAATTTGGGAAATCTTTTTATAAGCTTCTCTCCACTGCTACTACTGGCAAATAGTGAATCAGCTATTTCCCCCTGAATTCCTGCTACAGGGAGCTCACAATGTGACAAGGCAGCCCTCACAAGTTACTGTTGCTCCATCAGCATCAACATCTAAAATATACAGGCAGCCAGCAAGACTCGGAGTCCCATAGGAGCTGAGCCCAGGTTACTAGTTCACTGCCATATGCCCAGAACCTAGGAGCACAGTGATTTGTGACCAAGCAGACGATCAAGAGATATTTGTTGGATGGATGGATGGATGGATGGATGGATGGATGGACGAATGGGCGGATGGACGGATGAATGGACAAATGGATATATGGATGAATGAATAGATGGACAGATGAATAAATGATATGCCCTCTCTGGGTGCTATAAAATAAGTTAGACATGTTTATTTCCCTTTCATACTATGGCTCAGAGTCCAAGGCATTGAATCTAAAGTAAAGATTTGGGGATATTTTATGTGAAGCAATTGTAGAACTGTAACTATCCTAAGACGTATAAACTATCCCAGGCTTGGGTGTCAGCAATAAAACTCTTTAAAGTGAATTACTCAGTGATCACAGGGGTATGGGTAGTTGTCAGGTGAAAAACAGTCCATTGGTTTTTAAATATTAACACTAACAGGTGCCTGAAAGATAATTATTAATGTAATTATGCGATATAATTATTGCATTCAGTTCTTCTTTAATCTGTAACCACATATAAGCTACCATCTATTTTGAACTTAATACAAGTCCTAAGTCCTTAATAGAAATGGATGTAATTCTGAATTGATGACAAGGACAGACTTTTGACAGAAACTGCCCATATTTTCCAAAAATGTGTGTTTACTCATTGACAACATTGTCTCTTTCTCAAATTAGTCATTGGACTTACTGAGAAGAACCTGATTACTAATAGCTCAAGTTACATATATAAATTAGTGTGTTCACTTTTATTAGTAATAAATGATGCAAGTCAGTTTGCTCTGAACTGATTGTGCCATATCTTGCACTGTTTTCTCTTTTGCAGAATTTATTTTCATTTGCTGAAAGTTTTAAGTCATGCCCAATGACTGATTTATTGTTTTCTTCACAGGAGGAGGGGGGAAGCATTAGGTACCTGGTACCCGGCAAAAGCCCAATAAACAAAGTTATCGGTGGAATTCCTCAATGTGACAAAGGGCTGGATGAGGGGTTCCTTGCTGGTACAACCAGGTCACAAGCCTAAGAAGGCTTGACGGGTGTGGCTGGCTCCCCCCCCATGGCCCTGCTCTGTTCCCGATCTGGGCTTTGCTGCCTTGGTCTGGGCTGCTTCTCCTGGCTCTCTGCAGGACCTCCAGGCTCCAGGAATTTGGACCGAGTGGTAGAGACATCGCCGGCAGAGACGGCGGTCGCCAGCTTCCTCTCTGTGCTGTCTTGTGATTCAAAGCAGATTCTGCTCCACTTTTTTAAAAGGGGAGCACATGAATGCTGAAGACCCACAAGAACAGAATCAAGCAAGGAAACGTGCAACAGTGATACAAAAGTCTGTGAGTAAGTGGCTCATTCAAGGTGAGCCATGACAGGGATTTGTTCATGGGGAGCCCAGGGGCATCAAGGTCTGATTGCTGAGTGTTCTCGTTGGAAGTGGGAGGTTATAGGAGCTGCAAGAACCCTAGGACTTAAGGCTTTCTCAAATGACCCTGGGCTGGGCTGCACAGAGAGATAGAGAGACAGACAGACAGAACAGACAGACAGAGACAGAGAGAGAGAGAGAGAGAGAGAGAGAGAGAGCGCACTATGTACCAAGGTCATCCAAGCACTGCATTTGTACTTGGCTGCAGGGAGGAAGGGTTGGAAAAAAAGAGGATGCTTTTCTATCTTGGACATTTACCTAAAATAGGCACCAACAAGCTTAGTGGCCTTGCTTGCAAACTTCTACAGGAAGTGATTTTGGACCTCTTCTTACATCAGTCTGGTATGATACCACAGTTAGACAACTCAGCAAAAATTGCTGCTGGCCGTATGTGTGGCATGGTCATTGAAGACATTTTTTTTTTTTTTTTTGCTTTGCCTTTCCCTTCTCACATTATTTTCTAGCTAATGATCTCACTTCTTTAGAAGAGTACATTTCTGTGGTAGGAGCTATCTTTGTAAAAATATTCACTTCTAGAGACTAATTTGCTGGAGACTCACGCAGAATCTCCAGCTCACTCTCCCACTCACGCAGAATCACAAGAATTCTGATATTTGAGGTACAATTAGTTCATGTATCAACATTTTAATGTACATAGGTAGTCTCAAATTTTATATACTATTCGTAGAAGGCCAGGATCTGAGTCACAGCCCTGTTTCTTTCCTCCTGTAAATGAGTCACTGAGCCTAAAAGTTTCAATCATCCTCTTTGTAGATGAAATATCATAACAGATACTAGTATGATTGTTAGGATGATTAATTGCAAATGTACGAAGTCCTTTTTAACATAGTAATTATTTCTTATTATTCCTGATAGACACGTCACAGCCATAAGCTGGCTAACTACCCAGAAAAATGAGTAGGATTACCTCGTACATTTCTTTTCCCATCATAATGCTTTTCTTCCGATTTGACCAGGGCCTTGCCAAAGTCACATCCAGTAAGTGGCAGAAGCAGAACTTAAGACCCACAGTTTGGCTTCCAAAGAACCACAGTGAGTATTTCTCATGCTCAGACAAGAAATTGCAGCCCTACAGCCCAGGCACGTGGGCCTCAGGGTGGGTAACCAAGACAGCTCAATTCATGTCTCCCTCAGCCATTCCCAGTCCCTGAAAACAGAGCTGGGGGGTCTCAGTCCTCTGTGGGATATGGCCCTCTCTTGTTACCAGCTTCCTGCCTACCCTGCATCTCTTCCTTTTGAATTGCAGGAACCCCCCAGCCTCCATGCTGCCTTTCCTGGCCACCCTCTTCTTCCTTCACTCTTGCTTCCTCCGAGCAAATGGCCACCTCCGCGAAGGAATGATGTTGCTGAAGACTGAGTTTGCACTCCGCCTCTACCAGAGCGTGGCTGCATGTAGAAATGACACGAACTTTGTCATCTCTCCCACCGGTGTGTCCCTCCCCTTGGAGATCCTGCAGTTTGGAGCTGAAGGGAGCACCGGCCAGCAGCTGGCAGATGCCCTGGGGTACACCATCCATGGTAAGAGGCCTGCCCACGTGCATACTCACCCTCCTGCTCACACACTCACTCTCCAGCTCACCCTCCTGCTCACACTTACACTCTCTCCAGCTCACCCTCCTACTCACACTCACTCTCCAGCTCACCCTCTTGCTCATACTCACACTCAGTCTCTCCAGCTCACCCACCTGCTCACACTCACACTCACTCTCTAGCTCACCCTCCTGCTCACACACTCACTCTCCAGCTCACTCTCCTGCTCACACTTACACTCTCTCCAGCTCACCCTCCGACTCACACTCACTCTCCAGCTCACCCTCTTGCTCACACTCACACTCAGTCTCTCCAGCTCACCCTCCTGCTCACACTCACACTCACTCTCTCTAG